GGGGGGGGTCCCGGCCATTAGCTCCAGCTCTAATTACCACTCTCTCTCGCTTTGTGCTGGCCCATTATCCACAGCTCTTAAAGCCTCCCAAGCTTTTGGCAGACGGCCACTAAACCACTGTCTCCCTCACCCCACTTCCCAGATGAGTAAGCTGAGGGGCAGGGGGCTCCCGCCTTTCCCAGCAGCGGGCCCCTCCTCCTCGCCGCTTGTGCTGTGGGCCTCGCCCCAGTGAGAGTGGATGATCACAGAGATGCCGCGAACCACTGTCAGCCTGCACAGGAAAGTGCCCAGTGCACGTGAGAAGCGGTCACTTCCCTCATCTCAGCCCGGGAGGCGGCTGGAGTAGAGGGGGGGCTATGCCAGTGGGTGGGGGCTTCCCCTGGAGGCATGGGAGCAGCCCCCGCCCCAGTTCAAGCCAGAGCTAATGGAAGCCCTCAGCCACCACAGGGGTCAGAGAGAGTGCCCACACAGTCCCTGTGTGTGAGTGTGTGTGTGGGGGGGGTATAAGTGTGTGAGTAGGTGTGCCCATGTGTATGTCTTGTCTTCTGCAAAGGACCCCCATCCCCAGGTCTCCTAGGAGGGGCCCGTTCACCCACCCTCTCCCTTTCTCAGCAGCATTGGCGGTGGGATGGGAGGCTGGTCGGCCAAGGGCTGCGAACTCCTGTCCCGGAACCGGACCCACGTGGCCTGCCACTGCGACCACCTGGCCAGCTTCGCGGTGCTCATGGACGTGTCCCGGCGCGAGGTGGGCGAGCAGCCGGCCCCACCCCTTGGGGCAGCAGCATCTGCATCCCCCACCCTCCCTGCCCCTCCAGGGGCCCTGCCTTGCCCTGCCAGGCCTTAAGCTGCTGGTTGGCCAATGGGGACGGAGCCCTTTGGCCGGAGTCTGCGAGCATTTCCATCACAAAAGCCCACGGAAGGGACTTTTTCAAAGGGCCCAGGCTGTAAGGAGAAATCCTACCCAGAGGCCCCTCCAGGGGCAGCACTTCAAAGCCCATGTTCAGAGTCTGTTCTGAGAGACCCTTTCTCTCCACTCCCTGTTGGGGGAGGGGAGGCTGCGGCAGAGGGAGGGTCGCAGCCCTCCAAGCAGCCACACATTGGTCAGCAGACAATGGGGGGCTGGCCCCCAGCTGAGAAGTCAGCCCACTCCTGTTTAGTGTCCAGGCCTTTGGAATGTGCACCGGCTCTCAGGCTCCGAGGAGGGTCCTGCCCTGGTGTCCATTAGGAGGATAGGGGGTGGAGGCCCGTGGTAACTGCCCATGTCCTCTCCTGTGGCTGGGCACTCAGCAGCCCAGGGTGGGGTCCCCGCCAGAGACTGCTGTTGGGAAGTAGCCCAAGTTTCTCTCATGTTCTGCTAACGGGGGTCGCGGGGCCCTGTGTGAGTGCAGGCACAGTGGCATGGGGCACGCCCCTCGGACAATGGAGTGCCCTCCATGGGCAGAGCCACTTTTACAGGCAGCCTGGGGCGGGTCTGGTTACTGCTGTTCCATCGCTCCCACTCGGTAGGTGGGCCTCTGCCGTCATCATGTCCGATGGTCAGTTGGAGTCCATTGTTGAGACTGCCTGTCTGTCAGTCCACCTCGTCGGGGGCCTGCAGGGGTGGGGGGGAGGTTCGCTATTAGGAGCCCTGGTGGCTCATGGTGACAGGTCACGCTGGCACCCACCGCCTCTCCACCAGCCCCCCCATCCACGTGATGGCTGTGGAGGCCCGTGCAGCTGTCCTCTGCCCTGCAGGGTCTGTGAGTCAGAGCTGACCCGATGGCAGCTGGCTTTGTAGCCCAGGGGTGAGGTGCCCACCTGCTGTCCACCAGGTTGGCGGTTCAAACCCACCAGGCATGCCAAGGGAGACGGCTGGGCAGCTTGCCTCTGTAAAGAAGCCTGGTCCGGCTGAGCGGCTGTGGTCGGGGTCAGCCTGACGGAGCGAGTTTGGGTAACCCCGTTGCCAAAGG